CATCAAAAACTGATCTGTCCACAATGCTAGAACCCATTCACAGTGCCACCTTAGCAGGCATGGTTGTGCTGCAACAGAATATGTGTTTATTGTGGTGGTTATCATTCTTCTTGGGCCAATGAATGCCTAGATGGCTGGTGTAAAACTAAAGAATGCCTCTTAGGTTATCTAACTGTGTGTCTGACTGTTCACAAACAAACTGAGACACCTCATTTGTCAACTCCCTTGAATTTACGTCATTGAGTTGGAAAGGACCCATCAGGAGGCATTTATGATTCAGAATTCACTTCCTTTGGCAGGACCCTACTTCCCTGCTTAGGGAAGAGTACAAATGAGACTATGATCAGGAATCTCTCCTTAACTCTAGAAAATATTGCAGAATCCTTGGCAAAAGCAGTAGCTGCCCAAAAAGATCCTTAGACTTTCTGGCCAAGGTTGTTCTAGCTAATAGGACAGCCCTTGATTATCTTTCAGCTGAACAAGGAGTGTCTGTGCTCTGACCAACACCACTTATTGCATCTGGACAAGTGAAAACTCAGCTACATAAGATTACTGAACAATCCACTTGGCTTAAGGAAGTGACTCCTTCAATGTGATTTTTCTTTGATTTATTTGATTTTGCTTGATTTGGATCTTGGGGACCATGGCTCTGAAGTGTACTCCAGACATTGGGAATTATCCTGCATATAATGATCATAGTAATCTCCCCAGGGCACTATATTTTCTCAAAAGTTTTAAATATATGTTTGCAGCCACTAACCACCAAGCAAATGATCTCCTTTAAACTGGAACATCAAAAAAGGAATGAAGGAAATGACTGACAAAAAAAAAAAAAGTGAACCTGAATTCATGACACAGAGATTCAACAACAACAACAAAATGTTATCTGTGAATACCACACAGAGGATCAGACAAAAATTTTGAGAACTTCAGAGCAGTAGCAGGGAATGACACTCATGCCTTCAACTTCAATCACATCTCTCGGTTTAGCTGAGTCTGATCAAAAAGGGGATATTGTTTATTTTTTTAAAAGACTTTATTTATTTATTTGAGAAAGAGAATGAGAGAGACAGCATGAGAGGGGTAAGGGTCAGTGGGAGAAGCAGACTCCCCGCCAAGCAGGGAGCCCTATGTGGGACTTGATTCTGGGACTCCAGGATCATGACCTGAGCCGAAGGCAGTCGCTTAACCAATTGAGCCACCCAGGTGCCCATAAAAGGGGATATTGTTTAAAAAGCGACAACAGGCCCAAAATGGAGTTGCTTGTGCTAAGCCCACAGTCACCAAACCAGGACTTAATACCTAACTTAAATAAAATTTCAGCCTCTCCAGGAATGTAATCTTAACCATTCAGACTGGAATTTCCTGGTCAGCACTGGTGAGGTAATCTGCCTGATAGGCTCCTGCTGTCCCTCAAAGGAAGGTGAGGGACTGAAACAATCCACTTTTGCTGCTAACTTTCTTGTTAGCCTTCTTCCTGCTTATAAAAGTCTTCCATTTAGTATAGCTCCTCAGAGCTTCTTTCTATTTATTGGGTAGACTCATGGAATGTTGAATAAAGCCAATTAAGTCTTTAAATTTACTCAGTTGAACTTTGTTTTTTTTAACACTGTTAAATACTCCTTTGACATGATTGTTTTGACCACTGTTAAAATTTTACTACTCTGGATAAAAGAGAGTGAGAATAGAGAAAAAAAAGCCTCAAACTTTGCATCTGTGCCTAGAAAAGCTAGACTTTCATCAGAGGTTTCCATCAGTGGATAATCAAGGGCATGAGATGGTGGTCTATTCCACAGAATAACAGAAATGTTGGCTTTAACAGCATGTTAGGCCAGTGCTCAGAAGTTAGGCTACAGTGACTCCAGATACCCTTGTTGGTTTGTAACAGTCTGGTGCAGGGACTAACTTGGAAAGGATTGAAGTTGGAATATTTCTTCTAAAATGACACTCTCTGGGAGGTAGTCTATTAAAATGCAAAGAACATGAACAGGAGAGGAAATAGATTTGAATTCAAATTCTAGACCTACCAATAAGATCTGTGTGACTTTAGGTAAAATTTTTTTTAAAGATCTTATTTATTTATTTGAGAGAGACAGCATGAGTGTGCGAGAGAGAGAGAGAGAGAGAGAGAGAGAGAGAGAGAGAGAACCAACGGGGAGGCGGGGTGAGGGCAGAGGGAGAGAGACAAGTAGACTTCCTGCTCAGCAGGGACCCTGATGGGGGGCTCCATCTCAGGACTCTGGGATGATGACCTGAGCAAAAGGCAGATGCTTAACCAACTGAGCCACCCAGGCACCCCTTTAAGCAAATTTCTTATTTTCTCTTTTGCTTCAACCTATTCCTCCAGAAAACAGGGAGAAATAAACTCACAGGATTGTTTCAAGTAATGAGGCAATAAAAATAAAGTACAAGTTAAGTGTCTGGTACATCGTTGGCACCTAATACAGGGTAACTATTACTGTGGCCTCAAATGAAGTTTATCTGCCACTTTCAGGTGCTTTTAAGATCTTATAATTTATCTTCACTATTAGGAAAAGCTAAGTTTCCTCAACTAACAGAGACTTCCCTATACACTCCTCATTTCCAATCATTTAGAATCTTGGAATAATAAAACTAGAAAGAACTTGAAGAGAACCTATTTCCAGAGCTTTATAATGCACACTAAAATATCTGACACCAAGGGGTTTGATATGACTAGCTGAGGATTCTACTCACCACTGATCCACATAGTAAGACTAAGTGTAATATTGCTGTTACTTTTATAAAGAAATGGCATGCATGGTAATGTAGCAAATGTAAAAGGCACATAGTTTTTTTCCATATCGCTCTTGCAAGAATAAAATTTTCTCTCTAATTGTTGTCCATATAGCATAAATTATACAGAATTGTAATAATAGTATAGGTATTATTCTGAATTTTGTTCTTTATGCTTAATCACATGCCTATCATTTTTTTCAGTATTGTTATATACTTTCTTAAATTATACTTTTTAATGGCTGTTTAATATTTAACTCAATGGAAGTATTATCTGAAAACACTTGCCTATAATTGGAAATTTTATGTTGTTACTGATATAGCAATGAATGCCTATGCAAACAGGTTTTTCTTTGTCATTTCATTAGATACATCCTGAAATTTCCAATTCTTAGGTCAAAGAATAAGGAAATTTAATGGATTTTAATATGTACTGCCAAATAACTGCCAGAAATATTATGCTAATTTATAATACCAACAACAATGTACTTTAGATTCACTATAGCCACAGCAATACTGAGTATTGTTTTAAAAATATTTGCTAATTTGATAGGTGTGAAATGGTATCTCACTGTTTTAATGTAAATTTATTTAATAATTAGCGTGGTTGAACATTTTTTTCTATGTGTTTGCTTACATGTTAGGTTTTTTCCTTGTGTCTATTGACTGTTCCTAGACTTTGTCTGTTTATCTATAAAGATTAAAACAGTTACTTTCTAAGAAATGTTTCCTTTAGTGGTTTAAATTATTTTTAAATTTCTACTTTGAAAGGAAATTCACATTTCTGATAAGGAATTCACTGTAAATTTCCAAGACTATCATAATCATCTGTCACTGTTGTCAAATCAAGTTATATAAAAAGAGATACTAGAAAATCCCTTTGCATGTCAAAAGTATGCATATGCACTATATTTACTTCAGGTCCCAAGTATGTGATATGCAAAGAGTCAAGTGGGGTAAAACGACTTTACAGTTGATATTGCAGTCTTTAGCATTCTGTTGTCATATTATGAAAGACAATAATACAAAAAAAGAAAAAGACTATCACAGATTTTATAAAACACTTAAGAAGTAATTTGTGAAGTGGATATTCAAGGAAGAGCCAGGCTATTATTTACATATCTATATTCAAGGGGCAGGGTATTATTTATAAAACAGTATTGTTAAATTTTTTAAAGAATGAAGATCTATCTCTCCTTTCTTGGTTGCACTCCTAACTTTATAAGTTTGTTGTCTGAATGAATTCTTTTTATTCTGATATTGGGGAGTTGAGCAGTAGTAGATTTAAAGGAAAGTAATAGTAGATTCAACCTACCAGTATATGACAAGATTATATTTAAGTTGGGTTTCTGAAGTGCCTTTAGAAACATAAAATTAAAAAAAAATCACTGGCTTGTAAGGTACAGTTACTGACCATCTGGTCCAATTCATGTATTTTTTCTACTACATCTGCTGAAAGTAGTTTTTGAATCTATGTTTGAACATTATAATGACAGCGAATGTACTCTTTTCAGAGGCAGCCCAATACAACTCTGAAGGTCAGAAAATTCTTTCCTATGTAGAACTAAAAGCTGTTTTTTGTATCCCTTTGTCATTAGTCTTGGTTTTACACTGGAGATTTGTGGAACAAGTTTAATCTCTTGTCCGCATGACAGACTTTCAAATATTTGAAGTCAGCTCATGAACAAAAAACTATAATGCAAAGCAATCCCATAATTGTGGTATAGAGGTATACTTCTTGAGGGCCTTCAAAGTGGGTAGAGATCAAATCAGTTTAGGGAATCAAGAGTATGTGACAATTAAGATAGACAGAGGTGAGTGGATAAAATCTTAACAGGGGGATTAAGAGAGGTGCTTTTTCCAAGTGGAGTGGACTGCAGAAACAGAGACATGAAATAGAAGAATATGTCCTAGAAACAGTTCAGTTTGGCTGGTACATAGAAGAAATGTAAACTCTTAGAAGGAAGATGGGAAAGGTATTATGAAAAGTCTTACATACGAGCAATTATTGAAGGTTTTAGAAATAGGAGGTATCATGTTTGGATCAGAGCTTTGGGAAAGTTAACTGACCATAGAACTAACAGGACTAATGGAAATGTAGAAAAATAAGAGAAAGGACTACTCTCTTAAAAAAGCATAGGGGGCGCCTGGGTGGCTCAGTTGGTTAGGTGACTGCCTTCAGCTCAGGTTATGATCCTGGAGTCCCAGGATCGAGTCCCACATCGGGCTCCCTGCTCAGCAGGGAGTCTGCTTCTCCCTCTGACCCCCCTCCTCGTGCTCTCTCTCTCAAATAAATAAATAAAATATTAAAAAAAAGCATAGTGAACGGGTAATGAAGGCCTGGAGGTATAACAGAGGTTGGAATGGAAAGGAGTATAATGTATTGAACTTTGAAACAAATTTGAAACTAATGTAATGGAGTGGGGAGAAGAGGAAAGAAAAGATGACTCTAAGGTTCCACTTTATAGCTCTAGGAGAATGGCAGTGCTAGAAATAGAAGTAGCAAAAAAGTCCTAGAAATAGAAGTAGCAAAATGAATAGTTCATGGTAGGAGAAAGACAATAAGTTGCTTCTGTACAAGTAACCAAGAGTATGTGTGGGCTATGAACAGGAGGTATTTGAAAATGCAACTGTGGACTTCTATTTGGCTCTCTAAAAGGGCTCAAATCAGGTCCCTGGCTGTACACAGGTCCCACAGACACTGCCAATCCGGCAGGCAAGAGTAGGAGCAGAGAAGACACCAAGTGAGATGGAAGAGTTGGAGAAGGTCCCATAAGGGTTGTGCACAGTCAGCTGGTACAGAAAGGGCTGAGAAGTGAAAAATGAACAATCAAAAACAAAATATCCAGTTGGTGAGGACTTAAGTCTACGTGGGTCTACAAAGAGAGAATTGAGCACATTCAAGCAGGCCGGAATAGAGACTGGGTTGGTGACTCGGTTTGCTTATGTGTGAAAGAAGGGTAACGCCGAGCCTGCCTTGGTGGGTTGTTGTGGTAATGAAGGAAAATGTGTGTAAAAATCATCACATTACCTAGGAGAGGTAAGCATGCCATAAATACCTAATATTATATGATGTTATCAACTGAGAAATAAACTCATTGTTCTTTATACTATGTAAACATTTAAAAATATCTTTCAAAATAGCTCATTACTTTCATTGTTAAAATTGTAACCTGCCAAAATCATAATGTTGTGTAAGACAAAGAACATCTGACCAGGGATAAAGCCATCAGATTCCTAGTATCAGCTGCCTGTAGTGAACTTTGTGATCTTACCAAATTCTTTATCCCCTTTTGGGATCTTCATCTTCCTATGAAAGGAGTAGGGCTTCATGATCTCTAGAATATCTTTTATCTGTAAATGCAGATTCTGAGATATGGATTGGGAAGACTGAGTTTCTCATGGCACTACTTTGTGTTCTGGAACAAAGAAGAAGCTGGAGTTTGGTTTTCTGGGTAAGATAGGTGCTGCCCTGGAGGGAAGAAGGGGTTGGGCACATGTTTGGCCCTATCCTGTCTTGTTCACTGCTCCCCTCCCCTATTCTATCTCACCACTGCCCACCACCTTGAGAGGATCAGAAGCAGTTTCATTGTGGACTTTGATCCTATTTAAATAGGTCACTCTAGGGGTGTGGCTCAGCCGGTTAAGCTTAAGCATCTGACTCTTGATTTTGGCTCTGGTCATGATTTCAGGATCGTGAACTCAGAATTGTGAGCTCGAGCCCCACTTCAGCCTCTGCACTCAGCATGGAGTTAGCTTGAGACTCTCTTCCTCTCCCTCTGCCCCTCCCCTGCCTCTCACTCACTTTCTCTCTCTCTCAAATAAATAAATCTTAAAAAAAATAAGAAATCCAAACTCTGGGGTCATCTCATCCCACAGATCTCATTGCTCATGGGATCACATCTCTCACCTCCCTATTTCTCTGTACATCCTCTTTTCTGACCACATCTGTCACCCACCCCAATTCCTGAAACCTTTCCAGTAGAACTCACCATCAGTTTTGAGCAACCCCTTTCCTTCACCCCCTTGCTTTATTTGGCCCTGACTTTTTCTGTAGACACTGCTTCTTTATGAGCTCTCTCAAATTTTGATCATTTTTCTCCCATAACCTTTTACTGTGAGGCATGTAGGTTAGGAGAGCATTCTCCTTGCTCCTCAGTGCTACTTCCAGCCCATCTTCCTCCCTCCTTCTCAAGCTTCCCTAGCTTTAAATCCCATGTCATCAAACCATCTGCCACTCCTTGCCACTGTCATTGGAAAACCCTAAAGTCATCTCTAATCATTCAACTCCTGGCTCACTGTCACTATTCCCAAAACTGCTTCATAATTCTTGGTGATTTTAATAATCTTGTAATGACCCTTCTCATATCCTGTTTGTTTTTTGTTTTTCATTTTTTTAGTTCCTTAAGCTTCTTCTCTCCAAGGATTTTTCCTCCACTCCATCTCAGTCCCTCTCTCACACGGTTATGCCCTATACCTTGTATTTGCCAAGATCTGGCACCTGTCCATAATCTCAATTTCATTAATTCTACTCTGCAAGTCTCAGCTCTAATTTCCTGGTTTACTCCCTCACATACCCAACTTCAACAATTTATTGGTTCAATGGAAACCTATATCCATTGACCCTTCTACCCTTTTCCCACGGCTCCCTCCAAATAGGACCTCAAACTTTCTTTCTTACCCATAGTAATTTCCCATAATAATCATTATAATCATTCCCTTGCATATTCCCTAAACTCCCTTGCTACTATCTCACTTTGTAGACATACCTGACAAAACCTCAATTCTAGTTACATCTAAATATCTACCTACCCCATGCTTATATCTGCAAAACTGAATGAGGCAAAGAAAAATGCAAAATTAGTGAGCTCTAACATCAAATGTGATTCTAATTTTATTTCTTTCCCTTTATCCTCAAGTCTCCAAGACACCTTTCCATATTCTCACTTTTGGCAGCAACTGATCTAATACACTAGGAAAATAGGGGTGCCTGGGTGGCTCAGTCAGTTAAGCATCTGCCTTTGGCTCAGGTCATGACCCCAGAGTCCTGGGATTGAGTCCCGCATCGGGCTCCCTGCTCAGCGGTGAGCCTGCTTCTCCCTCTGCCTACCACTTTCCCCCTGCTTGTGCTCTCTCTCTGACAAATAAATAAATAAAATCTTAAAAAAAAAACCCAGCAGCAAATGGAAGAGAATATCCACAAGTTCCTACTACCCATCTTCCCACCTACCCACACTTGTACTCAATATACTCAGCCTTCCAGCTTATTGCTAAAAATGAACTATTTGTGCTCCAATCTATGACCAAGCCCTCCACCTGTTTACTAGATTTCATCCCCACTTCCTGAGTCAGGTTTTGTTCAAAAGTTAACTACCCAGCTAGTCCCTCACTGACAACCCTCTTTAAAATTTCACTCACCTTGGTATTCACCCAGGTGCCCCTCGTGTTGGTATTCTTTAGTCTCCTTCCAAAATTCATAAATTTCTTTACTTCACTTGCAACCATCCAACATAGTATATACTGTGATTTTGTATTTAGGTATTGCCTTACCGCCAGTTGATAATGGAATCCCCATGGGCTCAGGGGATCTTGTCTGTTTTATTCACTGATGTATCTCCTGTGTCTAGAAGAGTTTCTAGAACATAGTAACTGCTCAATAAATATTGTTGTATGCAAGAATGAATGAATGAGTTCTGTTTTAGATGGTGAGTCAGATGTGGCCATGTGATAAACATGTGGAAATTTTCAATAGGAAATTATAAGGAGATTTTAGGGTAAATGTAGATTTGGAGTTTATTTTACATAAAGTTGAAGTTACAAGAATGAATAATGATGTAAAGAAAACAGATTAGGCTTTTGGCTTTCGGCTCGGGGAGGCAAAGGTGCGACTTTCTTCGGTCGTCCCGAATCTGGGTTCATCCGACACCAGCCGCCTCCGCCATGCCGCCTAAGTTCGACCCCAACGAGATCAAAGTCGTGTACCTGAGGTGCACCGGTGGCGAAGTCGGTGCCACGTCTGCCCTGGCCCCGAAGATAGGCCCGCTGGGTCTGTCTCCAAAAAAGGTTGGTGATGACATCGCCAAGGCAACCGGTGATTGGAAGGGTCTAAGGATTACGGTGAAACTGACCATTCAGAACAGACAGGCCCAGATTGAAGTGGTACCTTCTGCCTCTGCCCTGATTATCAAAGCCCTCAAGGAACCACCAAGAGACAGAAAGAAGCAGAAAAACATTAAGCACAGTGGAAATATCACTTTTGATGAGATTGTCAATATTGCCCGACAGATGCGACACCGATCTTTAGCGAGAGAACTCTCTGGAACCATTAAAGAGATCCTGGGGACTGCCCAGTCTGTGGGCTGCAATGTAGATGGCCGCCACCCTCATGACATCATAGATGACATCAACAGTGGTGCGCTGGAATGCCCGGCTAGTTAACTACAAAGGAAAATGTTTCAATAAAGGATCATTTGACAACCAAAAAAAAAAAAAAAAGAAAAGAAAACAGATTAGAAGGAGGAGGTACATTTAGTGGGATGTTCATGTAGGATTATGACAACATCTGTGTCTTAGAATAATAGCCCTTTCCCCATTATGGTACGGTATTTAATAGGTTGTGGTTTTTTAAATTAAATCCTATTAGTATATGAATATAATTTTCTAAGCCCAGAAGCATGCTGATTACTTTTGACATTGAAAAATAGAAAGATATAGCCACTTTAGTTAGCAAAGGTAAAAACGAATTAATAGTAAGCTCCACAGAGCCAGTCAACCTCAAATCCTGCAAAGTCATTTTGGTGATGCTTTTTACAGTGAAATGGTCTTTTGAACCTTGACCTCCTTAAGATTAGAATGCTATTCTTCTTTTTCCGCCATCTTGGAGCCTGTGGAGGCCTGCTGGGAACAGGACTCCTATAACGCCAAATAATGTCTGGAAGTCTGTGGTCCAAGGCCATTTTTGCTGGCTATAAGCGGGGTCTCCGGAACCAGAGGGAGCACACAGCTCTTCTTAAAATCGAAGGTGTTTATGCTCGAGATGAAACGGAATTCTATCTAGGCAAGAGATGTGCTTATGTGTACAAAGCAAAGAACAACACAGTGACTCCTGGTGGCAAACCAAACAAAACCAGAGTAATCTGGGGAAAAGTAACTCATGCTCATGGAAACAGTGGCATGGTTCGTGTCAAATTCCGAAGCAACCTTCCTGCTAAAGCCATTGGCCACAGAATCCATGTTATGCTGTACCCCTCAAGGATTTAAATTTAATGAAAAGTAAATAAAGGTGTAGATTTGTTCTCTTGTAAAAAAAAAATTAGAATGTTATTGCATTAAATTTCTATAAAATAAAACATTTAATTACCCAAGTATTTTAATGTGTACATAATGCATTTTATTGTAATATATGTATATGTCTATATATATAAATATATATGTATTTGTCCCATATTTTAAATAAATTTCAGTTAAATTTTATCTCAGAGCCACAGAACCTTTGTATCTGAGTACAAAGCACCATAGATTCAACTAGTGTTTTTATTTCAATTGGTGGTACTTATCTGATCTTTTTAGTGATATTTTAGTGAAAGATTTCCATCAAACCAGTGTATTTTGTTATCTTAATATTTTCTCATTTGAAAATGCCTCTTTAAAAAATATTTTTTTTAAAGATTTTATTTATTTATTTATTCACGAGAGCCAGAGAGAGAGAGAGAGAGAGAGAGAGGCAGAGGGAGAAGCAGGCTCCCAAGGAGCAGGGAGCCTGATGCGGGACTCGATCCCAGGACCCTGGGATCATGACCGGAGCCGAAGGCAGACGCTTAACCATCTGAGCCACCCAGGTGCCCCTTTAAAAAATATTTTTATAGGTAGTGTCATGTATAGGTCAAGTCATGATTCTGACTTGACCCCCTTGCATACTGTCTAGGGATTGGTGTAGTGATGGTAACATTATACATCAATGTAAGAGATTTCCCCAATAACCAGCTAAGTGACAATCCAGTGTCAGTCTGCCATGATTGGCCCCAAATCAGCCAATCTTTGCTTGTCTACCTCCACAGTCTTAGGTGAGGCAAAGATTTTGGGTGAGAAACATCATCTTCTAGTTGGTTCTAGTCACCCTCAAAATTAAGTAAATTTATTTGGAAAATTTTCATGAGAGAGCAGGGTCTGACTAACTGTTCTTGTCTTGACTCTTTCATTGTCTTGATTCAGTTTAAGCCATCATCTTGTTTTAGGATGAAAGAGAAAGTCCTCAGGGTTCTTGAAGCCCTGTGATGGCTCCTGTGAACATTCCAGGGCACAGCCATATTTTGCAGTTCTAAATATTTACATCCCATGCTCTAAACAATAAAGGAAAACAATATTTTGGTTTTCTAAAATCCAGTATAGATATTTACCTGTGTTGTGAAGATAAGTATCAATTTTAGATTTTTAAGTAAAAAATTACTAATGATATGTGATAAAATATGAACTCTTTCTCATCTAATTTATGATTCTTATTTTTTCCTTAACAAAACAGAGAGCAGAGGGGCGCCTGGGTGGCTCAGTCATTAAGCGTCTGCCTTTGGCTCAGGTCATGGTCCCGGGGTCCTGGGATCGAGCCCCGCATCGGGCTCCCTGCTTGGCGGGAAGCCTGCTTCTCCCTCTCCCACTCCCCCTGCTTGTGTTTCCTCTCTCACTGTCTCTCTCTCTGTCAAATAAATAAACAAAATCTTAAAAAAACAAAAACAAAAACAAAACAGAGAGCAGAAATTCACACTGTAAAACAGAATAGATAGGAATATAAAGAGATGAAAGTTTTATAACCATAGAAACCATAGATTCTTGGTGACTTATCCTAATAAGTAAAGAACTTTATTCAGTATTAATAGTGTTTGCTTTTTGATGTTTAAGAATTAAAATATCAGTTAGCTGATATCTTTGAATACATAGCGGTATTAGTGTTCTGATATTTTGAGTTGGTACCACAATTTCAACCAAGTTAAATGGATTTTCTTTTCATATAATGTTTTTCAAACTTTAATATACACACAAATCACTTGGGGATCTTGTTAAATTAAAGATCCTGATTCTGTAGGTTTTGTTGTGGCCTGAGATTCTAATAAACTCCCGGGTGAGAAAAATGCATAGATCATACTTTGAGTAGTAAGGACTAAGGGGACAATTAGGATAATGTTATTTAGGTTTTTCATTTTGACTATCATTTTATTAAATAAAGTTGTTTCATTATTTAACAGCTAATGCTATATTTCTTTGTGAAAAATAATTTAAATAGTTTACTGCCACAAAATTATTGTCATCTTTAATGCCTTACTATTAAGTATATTTTTTCAGTTATATAACTTGCTTCATTTTTTTGCATTAGTTACAACACAAGGTAATAAGTAATGTAAAGTAAGATTGCCATCTTTACAAGTTGATTTCATCAATGTTTCAGAGAAAAACAAGTTTAATTTCTTCAGTTAAAAAAGGTAGCATTGTGATTTTGTCTGAGGCTGTCAAAACCTGGTATAACACTTGAGTGGGTAGGTCTATTTTTACCTGTTAAATCTCTTTGATGAGATATCAATGGGAAATGATTAAGGAAAAATTAAAAGGAATCAAAATCGAAGATAAAGATATGCAGAGTTGAATTTGGAAGTACTGTAGTTAGCAGAAATATTACTTTTTGACATTATTTGTCTGATACAAAGTTAGACTATTTTTAGTTAGGGAAATGTCACAGTATTGTTTGTATCATGTTTAAGAGCCCTGTCTAATCTTGGTGGCATACTTACTAGATTTTGTTTTCCTATGCATAATGCACTAAAGACCCAAATTAGAGGTCTCTTAGGGGATTTACTCATCCACAATAAAATGCTAGGCAGCGATACAGGTTGACTTGAAGAAAAGCCTGATGTTATAAATACTTGGAAACGAGAAGGAGAATTGTGAGCTTATTTTATAGGAAGGCATATCCTATAGATGTACTGCGAAGCACTATACATCCTCAAATTTATCAAATCCACATAACTTTTAGCTTCTCTTGGGATTGATTTTGGTGTGATGGAAGATGTACTGTGCTACAAGGCATTGGTGATTAGAGCAAGAAGGCAGAAAATGTAACTGAAGCAGAAAACACCTGCTGGGAAGAGGAATGAAAAGCACTGAATGGAATAAGTATACATGTGGTCAGCAAGAAAAGCAGTGTGGTGGGGACAATGTCAGAGTCAACAGGATATACACCGAACAAATAAGCTGTTTTGTAAAGTTAATCTTAATTACATAATAGCTTTGCAAGGTGATTATCATCCAGGCACAGCATCCTACAAGATGTCAGGGGGAAAAGCATGATGGGTGCAGTGGGAACAGAGTCCATCTGAAAACTGAATGTATGCTGATTATATTCATAAACTCAGATATAACATATGTATGAATCTAAAGTGCATATATATTCATTTTCAAAGGTTGATGTTTTTATTTTTGACTAGACAAATACACAAACATTTATATTGTTTAGTATGGTCACAAATAATAAAAAGAGTAACTGAATTATGTGTCAGGAATGGTGCTGATCCTAGCAACCAATGTATATGTAAGGGTTACTACAGCTTGGCTGAGATTACAGTTCATTAAAAAAAAATAAGTAAGCGGTAGAGCAAAATTCAGTATCCCTTACTCCAAAAATTCATTTTTTAACCATTGATAAAAAATGTATAAATTTTTATCATGCACAAAGTAGAGGTAAAGAATTCTATCCACTCTAGTTTGTGCATGTTCATAGAAATTCGTTTAAGTTGAAATGAAACTTATTCCTAGTGGCTGGCTCAATCTGAGCTTGATTCTAGGCTCTAAGTGAGAATATGCATGTTTGAGTTGGAAGAAAAGGAGAAGAACATTTGATTGAAATGAACTGAGATGTTAGCTCTTATTTAATCCTAAACTGTCAAGAATTTTTAGAAGGCTTGTTTTTTTTTTTTTTTTTTTTTTCCTTCTGAGGGCATTATGTGGGTTCATGGCCAGTAGCCTGTCTTCATATAAACCTTTAAAGTGAATTTCATGTTTATCTTAGGAAAGGGACAGGCTTTCCTTAGCTATTTAGTGCTACAGAATGGGAAGTAACAGCTGACTATTTTAGTCTGTACTTCTAGATGCTTCTTAATTCATCCAAAGATTCTAAAATAAATAGCATAGGTATTTTTTTTTTTGGTAAAGTGGTGGTAAAATTATGAAAATGTACACAATTTATGATGGCTTAATACTGATTAAAAATAGTCGAATGCTAAAGTATTAAGGCTAATTACATCTTCAGTGGGAACTGTATCCTAGGAAGAGCAAATCAAGTGATAATTCCTCTAGAACTAGCACTATTGCTAATGTTTTTGTAGTTTACTATTATATTTTAGAAATTAACTCCAGTGTTTAAAAATATCTGACCTAAAATGTTTTGGTCATTTAAA